AGAAGAACTTGGTTTCATTGTGGTGAACCTGAAAAATCGACTGATTCTTCACAGTTGATTGCATTCTATTTACTTTGTAACATAAACTTTAGTTTACAATATGGTTGCAACGTCTGATTGAACTTAAACAATTTTTAATTTTTTAATTTAAAGTTTTTTTGTAAGCTCTTGTTTAAGATATTTGGGCGTTTAAAACAATTTTTAAATAGAAATTTAATAAATTTGGGCGTTAAAAACAATTTTTTAATAGAATTTTTTTTTTTAATTTAAAACTTTTTTGTAAACTCTTGTTTAATAAAATTGGTAGTAAAAAACAATTTATTGAAAAAAAAAAACTATTGTTATCTTACAAATCCTATATACAGGTAAAACAAATTTGAATAAGTTAACCATAAACTAATATTTAAACTATAAAATTATTATCTTTATAAATAACTATTATTATTTAGTCAAAAAATTTAACTAACAATAATCTATTTGGGTTGTAATGGTGAGTTTGGTATTCTAATAATTAAATTATTGATTTTATAATATTTTTAGGGTTTATTCCTGTAAATAAAAAAAGCAAAACGGTATTTCGCTTTCTTTATTCACAGGAATAAACTTAAATTTCATAATCCTTGTAAAAACCTTTCTCAGAAAATGAATTGCAAGTAAACCTCACTATGTCTGAGTCATATTATAAATATCACGTAATAAATAATATTTGTTAAATGATATGGCATTAAAGGTATATAGATTTAAATAGATAATAGGTAAATAAACAGATACATCTATATATATATGTATATATATATATATATATATATATATATATATATATATATATATATATATATATATATATATATATATATATATATATATATATATATATATATATATATATATATATATATATACATTCTATTGTATTATTTTATATTATATTAAACTTTTTAAGACTTCAATATTACATTTTTGATACTCAGATTTTGAAACTTTTTTTTTCAAAAAGTCTTTAGAACATTGTTTACTTTAAAATTTTCTAAATGTATATGCTTTTATATAAACAATTTAGTTCAGCAAAACATATGTATATAATATAATAAAATTTATTAATTTTAAATAAATTCAAAATAAATGAATGTTTTAATCATATGATTTTGAACAAAACGACGCAAGATAAATTAATCATATGATTTTGACCAAAAAAAAGCTAGTTTTATTACATGAAAAATTATATCAATAACTTTAGTATATTTTTTACATTCACCAGAAGAGATATAATTATTTTCTCAAAAATTCTGTCATATAAAAGCTCCAAACTGAGAGTACCATTCCCCCAGTAGCAAATAATAATGATTATGAAGTGAACTCTGACAGTAATCTTACAATTTTTGATTCGGAATGTTGCCCAATACAGATTTTGAAACAAATATTGGAAATAAAAATAAAGAAATAAAAAGTAGTTTTATGCAGCGTACAGTTAAATTTGCTATATATGATGCAGAATTATCATGTTTTTTAAAATTTTGTGTAAGTTTTTAGCGCAGTGGTTAGCACGCTTGCCTAAGAGGTTAGAAATCTGTACCAATTTCACTGTTGGGCAAGTTTTATAAAATCGATAAAAAAGGACGAGTGAAATTCCTTTTAAAAATTAATAAAATATAAACATTCAGCGTCAAACAAAATCTTCTGTACCTATTACAACCGGAGTCAATTTGGCGTGAGACAAGGTATTTTAAATAATGTTTTAGGTTTTCTTAACAAAAAAGACTGTAAATATGAATTCAAGTCATGATTGATGGCTTACTGCTGTTTAAAAGCTATAAACGACAATTTGGTCTATACTATGTGTGATTGAAAATGTGAAAAATAACATTTAGCGTAATAAAACACCATTTAGTAGTTGTATGTTTTATGATAGGTATAAAACAAACGATAGTTGTGATTTTCTAAAAAAAATATTTGATGAAAGTGTTGTACTATTTGACATACTATCAATATTAACTAGCTGTCCTGACCCGTAAAACACGGGTCACGCTAAATTTGTTTCACACTGATCATTTCTATATTTAATCTTAATAAACACTCTATGGTAATGTTTTGTAATAAATGGTTAAAAAAATATTTATTCAAAAATCTAAGTTTTAGGTTAGCGACTTAAGTTTCCTACTTCTTATAAAAATCTGCGGGCTTAGAGCCTAATAAAAACCTATAAAATATTAAAAAATAAATTATATTTAAACTTTCTCTAAAGTTTAAATGTAACATATAAATATATATATATATATATATGTATATATATATATATATATATATATATATATATATATATATATATATATATATATATATATATATATATATATATATATATACATTTGCTCTTATGTTACAGGCAGACCATAAGTTATATATAATATTATTATAATATATAATAATATTTATCTAAAAAGTAGGCAGTTGCTAACTTTCCTAGAAGATAACATCTGTTAATTATCGGATAGCCACTTTTGACGTCAACTAATGGTTCAAAAAGTAATCGTTAAGTAAAATTATAGTAGCCGCTAAAAATGTATATATATAAAATATATATATATACATTTTATATATATATATATATATATATATATATATATATATATATATATATATATATATATATATACATACATATATACATATATATATATATATATATATATATATATATATATATATATATATATATATATATATATATATATATATATATATATATATATATATATATATATATATATATATATATATATATATATATATATATATATATATATACATATATATATATATTTGTAAAAATATATTAGTTTGAAGTAATCATATATAAACAGTAAAGGGTGTGCCTAAAAAAATAAAAATTGAACTGTTTCATAAAGATTTGTTTTTAAATAATTTATTTAAGTGAAGAACTTTTATAAATAATTCACCATTACAGGCCTTTTAAAGTTTTATAATTTGTGCGCAACTGGTAGCGCGTTTGCGGCTGTTTTATAAACTTGGTAAAGTGGTGTTAGTTTCTCGTTAAGCGTCACGTATATTTATTTTACTAAGTAAATAGTAGGATATCAACTTTGAAAAATCGTATTATGCAATTTTTTGTGTTCGCCAGTATAAAAACAGGTTCTTATTCTTATTCTAATAATCTCAAACATGAAGTTAGCGGTTGCAGTTTTCTTTCTTGCATTCATTGCTTTAACATACGCCAGAAGTAAGTAAAAGTTCAATGCACTTGTAAATATGTTATATTTTAAGGTTATTAACTAATAGACAATTCAATACGCCATTCTATTTTTTTTAAATTAACATTCTCAATTAAAAACTTTAAATTTAAGTTTTTCTCAACGCTTTTGAAAGTTTAATTGAAATAAGACAGTATTTTTTTAATGTAAATATAAATGCGCATTTATTCTAATAAAATGAAAATAATTAATTAAAATAACAATGCGCACTTAGATTATAGAAATGTTATAGAAGATATAAAACAGAGTATTGAAAAAGATGTTTTAAGAGATCTTGAAGATGACATTAGCGAGTTAGACGATGACATTTACGGTAATTGTTTTATTTATTTTAATTTTAATTTATCAAAAAAAAAACAATTAAATAAAGAAAGTAATATGATTGTGTGAAATTCGTTTTTATCTAGTAAAAGTTAAAGATGCAAGACCATATTATCGTTGGGTTGACACTGCCAAGGTGCTTCTTCCATATGTTCCCGCTGCTATTGGATTGCTTGGTGACGCAAAGAAGGAGTGAAGATACTCCACATAGAAGCCTTTAAAATAAACTTTATAAAGAATATATAGATTTAATGTCTTAATGAACAAATATTTGTGTAGACCCATATGTACAAATGCCTTAAAAAAATCTAGTTAAACAAATAAAAAAGTTATTATCAAAATCAAAATACATGCTACTTGAACAAATTTTTTTTTAATTTATAACTAGAATAAATCTTATTTTGTTTTTGTATTTCTACAAAAAAAAAGTTTTGAAACAAACTTGAGCTAAAAATCAAAAATAACTTTTATGGTAAAAATGACAATCATTTAAATTGGTTAAAAGCTTCCTTAACAAACCGCAAGCAGCGTGTTATATTTGGAGACTCAATATCTGAATGATGTAACTAGCGGTGTTTCCCAAGGTTTCGTTTTAGGAGCAACATTGCCATATTTTTAAAGACCTACCCAGACAGCAAGCTTACATTGGACCAACGTTGGGCCAATGCATGATGATGCATTGGCCCAACGTTGAAAGTCGATGTTGGCCCAATGCAGTTTGATCATTGGTTAGGTATTGGCCCAATGTTATGTACAACATTAATTCAATGTTGTATACAACGTTTACCCAACATTGGCCCAACGTTGTATATAACGTTAGGCCAATGTTGTATACAACATTGGCCCAACGTTGTATACAACATTGACCCAACGTTGTATACAAAATTGGCCTAACTTTGTATACAACATTGGCCCAATATCGTATGTTATATATCGGCCTAACGTTTTATGCAACATTAGATCGTTGTTACAAATAAGATGATATGCATCGCTACATTGAAAATTTATTGAGAAAAAAAGAATTTATGATACAAGTATAAAAATTTATATATTTAACATAATTTATTTGTTAAATATACATATTGCAAGCACTAAACTTAAACCAAAAACTGACACATTGAGTTTTAAATAAAAAAATTCACAATAAAATTTATAGAGTAGTTTCGATATTGGCTGAGCTACGATTATTATTTTTTCTTCCTCTATCTCTATCACATGTCTGCATAAGCCATGCTTATTTGACTTCACATTTTCTGCAAAAAAAAATAGTTTGTTTAATTATGCACCAAAGAAATATAACAAATTGAAAATAATTCTGTAATGCAAAATCGAAACTGAAAAAATAAACTTTTCTAAACCACTTACCAATAGCAGCATATGCAATCAATATTTTTTCTATTCCAATTTTTTGTCCTCTCCTTGCATAGTTTAATTTTACAACTAGGCCATTTTAAAAAACTATTCTTAGCAAATAAAATATACAATCTTCTTTGTCTTTAACTCCGATTTGTGCCAAATAATTGACCTGCAAAAATACACAACCTGGCAATAATTAAAGTAACTTTTATTTAGACTAAAATTAATATAAAATGTAATTTACAAAAAATCCTCAAAGAGTATTTTATTTAAAGTATATAAATTATACTAAGACATCATACAAAATGCATAAAAAAATTATAAAAAAATATTTACCATTTACTTACGTATTTTCTTTTCTTCCAGAGTACTTGAATTCTTCACTGCTTTTAATAGCAATGACACTCTTTCAGGAAATACAATAATTAGTATACCTTTGTTACTCAAATTTTTATAACTGAATTTGATGTGTTTTGTAGTTTACCAAGTTGTACTTCAATGACGACTATGAATGAACACTAAGAAAAACATAAGTTTCAGAAAAAAATGAATGGGTAGCACCAAAAAAAACATAATAGCTAAATTGAGCGTTGGATTTTGAAAATGTGACAAGTCATAAAACTAAAATTTTACAAGGGAGTGAAAAATATTTCTCCTGTAAAAAATTTTATTTTTATTTTATTCAAAAATTGTTTCTTTTCTCTAAAAAAATCTTTACTTTATCTAAAATAATCTTTATTTTATCTAAAAAAAATCTTTATTTTATTTAAAAAAATCTTTATTTTATCTTAATTTTAAGTGAGGTTATTTGAAAAGAATATTTTGAAAATATTCTTTTCAAATAACCTCACTTTTAAAAAAAGTGTGACTCATCAGGTTTTCAAAACACAGCGTTCATTTGGGAAACGAGTAACTTCTTAACTAGAATTACTGATTTTTCCATGACTATCTAAAGAAAAAAATAATTTCCTGACTTTTCCAGGTTTTCCACCACTTTAGCTAATATTAACAAATTTTCCAGATTTTCAAGGTACAGTACGGACCTTGTCCAATGTTTGTAAACAATTTTTTTTACATATTTTAGTTCTGAATTTTAATAACACTATTTTTAAAAATAATATCATCTATAAAAATATTGTATTACCTTCGTCTATTAGATAAATTTAAATAAACGTTTATATAATGAATAATAATGAATCACCAACAACTGTTAAAACTTTAAACTGATATGAATACTGATATAAATACAAATACTGTTGTTTTTTTCAACATTTGATTTCAAATGGTTTTCAAAGTTGGTGAAATCCAACAAAAATTTTTTGTTACGTTCATAAACTTAAATGTTCTCAAAACAATTCAAAAACCTGGCCAGTTTTTCACAACTAAATATATTTTCTGTGGTCAGTATTTGAGAGCGATCGCTCCCGCTTCCTGACCAAGCCTGTGGCGTAAGCTTTGATATTTTGATTATTACATACTAAAATGTTAATTAACACTCTGACTTTTTGACCGTAATATATGAAAAAGTTTTTAAAATTAAAAAAGTTAAAGCTATGAATAAAGATTTTCAATCATTAGACACTTACCATTTAATAAATTTGTTCATTCAACTTCTCAGAGCAAACATTAAACTTCTGTAAAGATTTTGGAGTTACAGGTAAATCCCAAAGTTTAATAATATTTTTTGTTTTATTATAAGAAAATGAGGATAAATCATCTACACCAAGATATACACAATTTTTTGTCTCTTTAATCTTTATTTTGACTGGTCATTTTTGCTGTCTTCCTTTTTTGTCTCCAGAGCAGAAATTTAGCCTTATACTAAATTCAATCTTGTATTGCTTTAAAAATCTATAAATCAAATCATTAATAATTAAGTTATAACTAAAGTTAATGTATAAGCTTAAAGTTGTTAACTGTTGTACGCAAACTAAATATGAAAAATATCCAGAGATATTAAATTAATAAATAATTAAACCAAGAATAATTTCCCTCTGCCTTGGAAAGATGGAATATTAGAAAGCTCTACATAAGTAGAATATAAGTTCTAGTAACATCACTTTTTGTACACTGTTTTAATATGTTAGTAGACAGGGTTTCATAATCAAACAAAAGAGACATATTTAAATCTAAAATATCAGCTTCTAACAACTTCAATGCCACATATATATTATTGATACCTTTAATAATATATCTTATAATAGCTGAATAATCTAAACTATTATAAATAATGAAAAAAAAAAAATTATACTGTATGACATTTTAAATGTTTGATTTATTTAATAAAGAAGACATTTAAAATGTCTTCTTTTTAAATAAATCGAACATTTGAAATGTTTTATTTATTTATAAATAATAAAAATAAATTTTATAAAATAATAATAAAATTTAATAAATTAAATTTAATAAAGATTATTAAATAAAACAAACATTTGAAATGCCAATACAGCAATAAAAATAAAAAAATAACTCTAAGATCTTACACAAAAATAATTTGATTATTGCCTTTATTATTGCATTAATAATTTAGATTGTAGTAAAAAATGCTTTAAGCATATTATTTAAATGTTAACAAATATTTCATTTAAAAAAAAAAAACATTAAGTCACGAGAATCTCTTGAAGTTTACTTCTTATTAGAAGATTAATAATCTGATTAGAAGATAAAATTTACTTCTTATTAGAAGATTAATAAATATAGCATCTTTTCTTTATTTTTATAATTTAAATAAATGGAAAGATATATAATAGTATCAAAACCTTTTTTTATTCTGTCAAACGATACCATTTTTAAAAAATATTTCGAAACAATTTAAAAGTATATACTAATCCGAAACTACATTGGCCAAATATTGGCCCAACGTAGTACGATAATTGAAAAAAACCGATTTGTAGAATTGCAATATTACGCCGAAAAAAAAACATTGGCTAAATGTTGGCCCAACGGAATAAACTTGCCAATGTTAAAACTTACATTGGGCCAATGTAAACTTGCTGTCTGGGTACCAAACCCTGTTTAATCAGCTATTTGCAAAATGTACTTAGGTGACAAAGTCCGTGAAAAAAGGATAAATATCGAACAGGTTTACAATCCGATCTAGAAAAGATTGTGAAATAAATGCAAACCTGGCTAATGAAGTTAAATGTAAAAAAACGTTAAACCGAGCATGTTAACTCTAACAATAAACAATAAACTAAATAATAAAATTTGATTTATTTATGGATAAAATCAAAAATAACGGCAAGACAAATAGAATTGTTTTAAAAGTCACAAAACCCCAAAAATATCTCGGAATTCTAATTTCTGACAATCTTAAATATGCTCGAACATAGCTGCAAACAAAGCAATTAACATAGGAAACTAATTTGTAAATTTTCAATGTGGAATAATTCTTAAACAATTATTTTTTTGTTTTTAGATATTTATAAGGCAATATATTTCCAAAGTTTCCTATCACCATGAAACAATATAAACATATACATACATACATGACCTCTTCCCAACCTTTTTAAAAGTGTTTACCCTAAAACAATTTCAAATAAACTTCTTACATTCATCTTTTAATATAGTTAGCTTTGTTTATTTTTTTAAATAGTTTTATATATAGTTTTTTACACTAAAACCAAATAAAAATTTGTTCACAAAATATTTTCCATTCACTGGGATTTACTCAGGTGTACCTGCAGGTACACCTTAGTAAATCCCGGTGAATGGAATCTTTGAATCCCAGTGAATGGAAGAGTACTTGAGTGAAGTGAATGTTTTCCAATTTTATTATATGTTTTTTAAATAATACTCAGTAATTTGACCTTTTTTACTTAGCTAGCAGCTGCGCATTTTGAGATATTTCATCTAAATTGTGACCTAATGCTTCAACTTCATCTAAAATGATTCCAAACCTTTCTCTGTTCGATAGATTCAACCTAGAATCAGCCGTTAAAAAAACTTTAGGGTGTTCTAATACTCCTGATGTTTTTTTTTTTCTAGAATTCTTTTGTCTTAAAATAATACTGACTTTTTTATTGGAACTGATATCTTCAAGTTCTTACAGTAATTTATACCTATTTTTTTTATATTTTCTTTTTATATTACGCAGATATGAAAAAAAATCCAAATCTGATTCTTGACTATTGATTGAGTGTTGTATTAGCTAATCAAATCTTTTTCATTTGATGTTGCAATTTACAAATCATCAATTTGATGCTTTTTTACATTTTAAATCAAGTTCTTTTTATGATGCAGTGTCATTCCAATAGTATTGACTTTTTGTTTTGCATGCTTTCCTGACATTTTTCATAATACATTCACTCATACACAAACTATAGGTTGTGGTAGATTAAATGTCTTCGTTCAAGGGTAAATTACAATTTTCAACAGTTTTATCAAAAACCTTATAAGGTTTTCCTATATAAATTGCTTATATAAGATTAAATAATTTGTTATATATGTTATTATACCTATAGATGTAAAAAAATAACTACAAGTAAAAAAGAAGCATAAGTTGACAAGTTACAGAACTTTAACACATTGCGAGTAACTATGAGTTTTAAATGTAATATATATTTTAATTGTTTTATGAGAATTTGACTCTACGGGCATAATTTAAATCAAAATTTGGAATGACCTCGTTGTAGCACAGATTTTTTGCAACATTGTATTCAATAGATACAACTAAGACATTGGTAAGCCAGTCTTGACGGTAGATCTTAATTTTGTCTAGACCAAGCTTACTGAAAGATCTCTCTTTCGGCGATGGAAACAATAATCGTGTTAAAAATACGTGACGAAATGCTTATTGATTCAAAAATAGACTCTAGACCTTTTTAATAGATTCCGTTTAATAGATTTATTAAAGTGAGATCTTTTTTCGGACTGAAAAGCTTGGCGTGCTTCAGAATATCAAGATGATGTACCTCTAAAATTAGTTTGTCTTTATCTACATTGTTCATATAGATTTGTGTTAAATTTTTATAATTCTCCTCCAGGTTAGGTGATTCAATTTTTTTCACTAGACCTACTATTAGATTCCGAGAAACATATGAAGTAGAAATTGTTTGTCATTTTTTCTGCAGCTCGAAATCTGTCTCTTATTTGGTGAATTAAAGTATTGAGAGCTGTGTTTTTTAATACGCCTAAAAGTAAAAAAAATCAAAATTGACTTTTTTTGAAAATAAGCTTATTTAGGTGCCTGCAAAGATTATTGAATATATAATAATTTTTTTTTAAGAACTTTGAAAAACTTCATACAAATTATAACTTTCAAAAAACATTTTACAAAAACTTTCTTGTATTATTAATTTTTAACGGGTTTTTCTTGAAATACGTAAAAGCATCTAAAGGCGTTTTGAAAAACGGATACAGTGTTAAATACGTTCACCTCAAACTGCTTTTCATCGTTTTCGTAGAAATGAACTTCATCCCTTGCTTCGTTGTAAAATGTTTTCCTCTTCCTTGTCTTTTTTTGAACTAACTTTGATTAAAACACATAACTAGCTAGACAGGAGTTAACCTTGGTCGGAACCCTCATAAGCTTCATCTCTTCATTTAAAGTATTGTTTCCTGATTAAAATGAAACTCTGAAAACTGCTTAGCGCACTTCGAACCAGAAGGTTGTCATGATAATAAACTCAAATCCTGCCACAATAGTTCTTCATTTCTACAGAAGATTCAAGGGAATGAACACGAGCTGGGTTAATGTTAAGAGCGCAGCATAGCATGTAGAAAGCTTCTGGATTTCTCTGAAGAATGATCGCTTTTACTCATTTGTACACACCATACATGTTGGCACCGTTGTTGTACCCTTGACCTCGACAGATTTTTAGATTGCTGTCATTTTGATTTTAGAAATCCATATTTATCTTGGCAATGTCTACCAATTTTTTTTTGTTTAAGATTTTCGACCTTAAGAAAGCGCTCATTAACTACCTGTCTTTTATCAACACCATATATATAAATATATAAATATATGTATATATATATATATATATATATATATATATATATATATATATATATATATATATATATATATATATATATATATATATATATATATATATATATATATATATAAATATATATATATATATTATATGTATATATATATATATTTACATATATATATATATATATATATATATATATATATATATATATATATATATATATATATATATATATATATATATATATATATGTATTTATATATATATATACATATATATATATGAATTTATATATATATATATATATATATATACATATATATATGAATTTTTATATATATATATATATATATATATATATATATATATATATATATATATATATATATATATATATATATATATATATATATATATATATATATATATATATATATATATATATGTATATATTTATATATATGCACACATATATATACATATATTTTATGTATATATATATATATATATATATATATATATATATATATATATTTACATATATATTTACATATATATATATATATATATATATATATATATATATATATATATATATATATATATATATATATATATATATATATATGTATATATATATATATATATATATATATATATATATATATATATATATATATATATATATTTGATTAAATATGTTCTTTTTAAACCTAGCAGCCCTTAAAAAAATTTTCCCGCAATGGGTTTGGCTAGTGTGAGACTCCCTAATGCTGTATTGTTGAGTAAACAATTCATTTTTAAGTTACGAGTTAAAGAGTTTTTCATTAAAGGCCTGTGTATCTAATTTATAATGAAATAAAAAAATAGTGTTCATTTTTGCGCCCCTTCTGATCCTGCGCCTAG